TGCGTGTGGGGGGTGCACAGAGTAGTTCCGCATCTTGCTTTTGGTGGTACTTAACATGACTATATACGTTTGCCAAAACTCATAGAACTGTATATCAGAAACAACTCATTTTACCATATGTAGTTTATGTTAAAAACTTAAAGATTTCCAATTAAAAAACAGTTGATGTTTGCTGGCAGTAACCAACTATTTGATTTTACCTGAAAACCAACATCTTTAAATGTGTAGCTATATAATACAGACCATGTGTTTTAAAATAGCTTTCTTATGATGTCACTTTTTAAAATTGATACGTCTACAAAGGTAAAGGAAAGAAAATAGACTTGACCTCCAAGAGCCCATGTGTTAAGTCATTTCTTTCCCTTCAAACCTGGAAATAATAAATTTAAATGACAGATATAGAGAAAAATCTCTTTCACTTGCGAAACTGTCAAACCTTCCAGCACCAAGCCCACCCAGTATCTAGCCAGGGGTCCAGAAGGTCTTCCCTTCATGCAGGCCTCCCTGATTTTTTGAGCTCCTGCCTCCACGAAGCTGTGTTTGCTTGGAGGGGCTCTCACACAGACGCAGGCTCCTCCCCCACCCTGGGGAGTGGGTCCCTGGGGCTGAGGTAGCAGTTGCTGGCTGTAGGGCCCATCCGGTTGGTCTTCCTAAACCCTTACTTAAGGGGGAGGGGGTCTGACTTCATTGTTTTTCTTTAGAACATGTGGTACTTTTTGTCCTCAGCTTGGCCTTGGTCATCAACGGGAAAACTCCTACTCTATGTCCTAGGAAAGCTTCACAGAGCAACAGGACCGCAGGAAGAGTCCCCCTCCACATCCTGTGACACATGTGGCCAACTCAGTGTTCGCCTTTGGCAAGGGGTAGGGGGGAAGGACAGTGCATGAAGGAATCCAGGTGCTGCAGGGCATCATTGGCATGGCTCACAGTAAAGTCCTGGAGTGAGGGATCCCTGAGAAGAGCATGCAGTCTGTTTTACATGGGCACAAGATGCTCAAAGTATATGTTTCAATACACGAATTATGTGTTTGGATAGAAAGAGGAGAACCTGAAGGTTATAATGAGCAGGCTCATTTGAGGAATGGGAGGTGAGAGTAAGAGGAAAGCACATTATGGACTGGGAAGGAAATTTCAGATTCCCAGAACTTGGAAGTGAAGCAATCCTATAATTATTTTAGGTGGCTGCAGAGGAGTGGAGCTGGAGGTTGCTCGAGATAAGGGAGTCAACTAGGAGATAACAGTATTGACTGGCTCATCACATCATTTGTTCATTTATTCATGCAACAAATTCTGGATGAGTGCTATGTGCCACATTATAGGCCTCCGAGCTATAGCAATGAACAGATATTTTCTGGCAAATGCAGGGATGGATGGTAGCTGGGGGGACTTAAACAAGTAAGAAAGACACTATAGGAGAGTGACTTTGGAGCTGAGATTGTCTGGATTTTGAATCCCAGATCCAGACATTTAATAACAATGTGACTTGTAAGTTACTTATCCCATTTGTGCCTCAGTTCCCTCATCTGTCAAATAAAAATACTAATAGTGCCTACTTCATAGGGTTGTTGTGATTAATGTGGAAATTAGTGTAAAGTTTTAGAACAGTGCCTGAAATATAGAACGTACTCCATAATTATTAGCTATTAAAAATATAAATGGGTCTGGCCCCTGGGGCTCAGGGTTGAGCGTCAACCCATGAACCTGAAGGTCACAGGTGCCATACCCAGCCAGGGCTGATACCCAGGTTGTGCGCTCCACCCCCAGTAGGGGGCGTGCAGGAGGCAGCCAATTGATGATTCTCATCATTGATGTTTCTCTCTCTCCCCCCCCCCGAAATCAATAAAAACATTTAAAAATTACTTTCAAATATAAATGGATACATACTTTAAAAGTGCTATAAAGAGAAATAACTCAGAAGAGGGGAGAGAATTCGGTGGTAAGGCTATTTTAGATCAGGTGCTGTCGGAAGGAGGTGGCGTGTGAAAGGGGCCTGAGTGGTGAGAGAGCAAGCCACGCAAAGGTCTGTGGGAAGAGTATTTTAGGTGGCAGGAAGAAAGGCCCTGGGGCCAGAAAGACCTTCAAAGCCTAGGAAAGGGCGGAGAGACGATGCTGCAGACAGTTGTGAACCAGTCCCCACCCCACTGTGCTCCTCCCATGTATACCTTCTGAAGACAGGCCATCTGTGGGGCTCCGACCACCTGTGACAGGTGCCCTGTTGGGGTGTGCGAGGTCTTTGTGGCAAATTGAAAAATTTTAGAGATAGGGAAATTTGAGCTTAATGACATGTTATATCTGCATCTATATAAAATGCTACTATTCAAGTTAGACAATATTTACAGCTCCACAGTCCCTCACCTTTTTTAAACAAGGAAAGGTAACACAATGCCTCTAACCGTAACATATTAACACCCCATTAAAGCCAGGAGTACAGTCAATAAATATTGACACTAAGTGGCATCTATAAAGACTATAAATAGCCTCACGGGAGTTAAGATTTTTCCCTCCAAATGAGGCACCTTAGGTTTTGCTTGCCAGAGAGTTACCAAAAAAAGCTTTGGCTTTACAGTGCTTTTTGAATTCTGGAATCCCAGATAAAAGATTGTGAACCTGTAATAATTTGCAGCATCAGCCCTCTGGGGAGCAACACGTAGAAGACAGAATAAAAACCCAAACTGGAAAATCCGGATGATTCTGCCTCAGCTGCTGTTTTTGAAGTACGTCCTATTTGTCACGTATAAACTCTTGTTAAGGTCTCCACCCTGAGATACCGTGAGGATCCCCTCCGCGGGTAGGTGCCGACAGGACCGCGCCCTCCCGCTGTCGGGGGGAAGCGGGAGGCTCTGGGGTGAGCCCCGGGACCGCGCGGCCTGGGGCGAGGCAAGCGCGTGCGTTTCCCTCTGTCAGCACGTTTCCTTTCTCAGGTAAACAGGCTTAAACCAGGAGTGGGAGTTGAGTCTCAGCGTTAGCGTCTATCTGGGGACAGTTTCCAACGAGGTTGGGTGTTCAAAGCCCTTCAGAGCACGCAGAAGTGCTGAGTTTGTTCCAGAAACTTCTGACATCAGAAAGGCCCCAAGGGATACAATCACCTGAACGATGTTCCCTTTCAGTCAAATGTTTACGCAACGCTTAGTGCCAGAAGCTTCGGAACAATGTAGACTGCGACCCGCATCTCTGCGTTCTCCCCATCCTCCGGGGCCGCGCGCTGCGGGCCGCAGGTCGTCCAGCGGAAGGCGGG